CATTACTTTTGGTATTACTGTGCCAATAAAATCCTTGTGTCATTGTAAACTCCCTTTATGATAAATTCCTTCTTCTCTCAGTGAATCCCTTCCTTTATTTACTTATTTGTTTATTCAGTTACTTAATTCTTTAATTAATTCTTTGGTGTATTCAATTACTTAATTTATGAAGTACACGCAAAACAGTCTTCGATCCCTTCACGTTGGAAAATATTCTTTCGAGGTCCTCGAGAGGTGGACTTCGTATTTGCATTTTGGGGGAGTCGTTATGTTTTGATATGAATGTTGAGGTTCTATGCATCTTTTTTTTTTTCTGCTGGAGCATCTGGTTATACCTCGGTCCTTCTTCACTATGTCTTCGCTAACGCCGTTTTTGTCACTCTCGCTCCCTTTGGCGGCCGTCAGAGCGGCGAGTCTTCCCTGTCATCGCCTTCTGACTCGCGGGCTTCGACTCCCCCGGGATACCACAGCCCCACCGGGTACCAGACGTCGGCGCCGTCCACGCCCGACGGCTCGCCCAAGCAACGCCGCAAGAAGTTCTTCCCCGCGAAGGCCGCCACTACAGGAGCCCCGAAGGAGGCAGCTCTCAGGGCCAGGATGGCGGAGGTGACGATGGAGGTCTCCCAGCGGGGCAAGGCGCCGTGGCCGCCGCGGCAGGAAGCCCCCAGCCAACGTGCGGTGCCGCCCTGGGCCGAGCCTGACGCACAGCCGCCGCCGCTGCCGTCGGCCGTGTACGCCACCATCGCGGCGCCGCCCTCGCGCCGCACCGCCGCCAAGCCCGCGGGCCCCACGAGCACCGTGACGGAGCCGCAGCCGAAGCCCGTCCACTTCAACCGGCCGTCGCCCGGCGCCAGCCCCGTCGCGCCTCGGAAGTCCCTCTTCGGCACCAACCTGTCCCGCAGGGCGCTCTCGTCGGAGTCCCTCGCGCGCCCGCTGCCTTGGGCCGACCAGATGAGGTCCAGGACCGACTCGCCGTCCAGGGGGCCGCGCAAGACACCGGCGACAGGCGCCTCGCCCTCGGAGCCTCACAAGAGCCGCCGCTCAGAGTCTCTCGGCCAGCTGAATCAGAAAGCGTCCGACGCGCTGGCTAGGGGCGTCGGCCCGAATACGAGCGAAGGGCGTGCCGCTGGCTCTACTCACCAGCCCGCAAGCGAGGGCACGGACGGGCAGGGTGCCAGTGCAGGTCAGGGCGTCGGGCAGCAAGGCGCACCCGCACAGACCCCCGGAGGCTCCGCTCGCACCACGGTCGTCAGGCAGGAGGCCTCGCACTTCGAGCAGCACACCGTGACAATGGTCAGTGTCAAGAGCGAGGCGGAGAGCAAGTCCGTCGTCACCGCCGGCGCCGCGGCTGCCGCGTCGGGGCCAGGATCCCCGACACCCTGGCGGAAGGCGAGGCCGGCGGCCGAACCGGCTGGCAAGGCAGCTCCTATGCAGCCACATCAGGAACAACAGAAACAGCAACAACAACATAAGCAGCAGCAACAACAACAACAGCAACAACAACAACAGAAACAACAGCAGCAACAACAACAGCAGCAGCAACCGCCATGGCGCAGCGCGAAGGCAGAGGTGAGTGCAGCCTCAGACCGCGAAGGCCCACCGTCTGCGGCTCCGAAAGGAGCCGAGCCCCTTCAGCAGGCACCGTGGAGGAGGCCGTCGGTGCAGCAGGACAAGGGAAAGGAAGTCATCGCTGCAGAGCCAGCTAAGTCAACCGCTGCCGCACCTGAGTCACTCTTGAAGAAAGAACAGGCTGCAGGCTTGTCTCATCAACTTCAGCCCGCTTCAGTGCCCGCTCCGTCCACAGCTGCATCCAAGCCGCCTCCCCCAGCAACCGCTCCTGTTCTAGACCCTGCAGTCCCTGCAGTCAAGCCAGCAGCTCCCTCAGTTAGTGCAGCCAAGTCAGCAGCCCCTTCAGCTAGCGCAGTCAAGTCTGAAACGTCCGTTCCGGTTACGAGCAAACAAACAACTTCCATCCCTGAAGCCACTCCTTCCACGTCGACTTCCGCCGCAAGCAAACCAGCATCTCCCGCTCCTCCTGTCAACAAACCCGCCTCTCCCGTGCCTCCTGCCAACCCCACTGCATCCCTTGCCCCTGCTGTCAACAAACCCGTCTCTCCCGTGCCTCCTGCCAACCAAAAGGCATCCCTTGCCCCTGCTGTCAACAAACCCGTTTCTCCCGTGCCTCCTGCCAACCCCACTGCATCCCTTGCCCCTGCTGTCAACAAACCCGTCTCTCCCGTGCCTCCTGCCAACCAAAAGGCATCCCTTGCCCCTGCTGTCAACAAACCCGTCTCTCCCGTGCCTCCTGCCATCCCCACTGCATCCCTTGCCCCTGCTGTCAACAAACCCGTCTCTCCCGTGCCTCCTGCCATCCCCACTGCATCCCTTGCCCCTGCTGTCAACAAACCCGTCTCTCCCGTGCCTCCTGCCAACCAAAAGGCATCCCTTGCCCCTGCTGTCAGCAAACCCGCCTCTCCCGCACCTGCTGTCAACCAAGCAGCGTCTGCTCCTGCCAGTCATCTCGCTTCCCTTGCCCCTGCTGCCAGCAAGCCTGCCTCCCTTGCCGTGAAGGAGCCGGCGGGCCCTTCTCCAGCGCCTCCCGCCGCAGCCAAGTCATCTTCACCTCAGCCCGGCCCAAGTGTCTCTAGGCCCTCCCCTTCGACGGATTCGCGAGCGCCCGCGTCCGCCCAGAACGAGCCTGTTGGCAGTAAGGCAGGGGCGCCGCCACTGCCGCCGCCCCCCGCTCCACTGGTGCTGCCTGAACTGTCTTCCACCCGCTCACCCACACCGCCACTACCGCCCAAACAGACTGCAGCTGAGATCATCTCCGCGCCAGCCCTGCCCCAAGCCCCTAAGCCCGCAGTCACCTCCGCCACACCGCCCATTTCGGCAGGTGCGGCAGCTCCCACCCCGCTGAGAGCCCCTTCACCCTCTGTGCCGTCCGCCCCAGAAAGATCAGTCGCTTCCACATCAGCAGCCACCCCTCCGTCGGCGCCCTCGGCGGCTGCAAGCGAGGCAAAGTCTGCAGCACCTCCGACTGCCCCTGAAGCCAAGAGCATGTCTGTCGTGGCCCCTCCGCCGCCTGCCACGGCGCCGCTGATCCCAGCGCCTCCGCCGGAGCCTGAGAGGAAAGTGAAAACCCCCGAGCCCCCGACGGCGACCGCGAAGCCTCCCGACGCCGGTCAGGAAGCACCCAGGCCGAGCAGGGCCCTCGACACGAGCGTCCCTCCTCAGCCTGAGTTCCCTCCCCCACCCCCCCTGGAGAAGGATGAGGCCCCAGGCGAGCCAGCGCTACCTCCTCCGCCGGGCTTCTTGCAGGAGGACAGGATAAAGCCTCCGACGTCCATCCTGACCAGCATCCAGGACGAGGATGAGAGGGGCGAAGAGGCCGACGACCTTCCCTCTCCCGAGTACGTGCGCCAGTCCGTGAGCAAGCGCATCATGGCCTTCGAGAGGCACTCCTCGCGGGACGAGGACTCTCCTCCGAGGGAACGCCCTGAAGCCTCCGGCCCCGTGCGCCCTGTCGCCCCCTGGGTCAAGAGGACCTCCTCCGGCCCCGTCCAGCAGGCAGGCTACTGGGACATGACCTCGCCCGAAGACCAGCCGGAGGACGCGTGGCCCGACCCGCCGAGACACCCCCACGAACCCGAAGCACCGAAAGCCCCGGCCAGACCAGTGGCGTCGACGAAGGTACAGAAGGTGTCTAGAGGGGCGGTGGATCGCGAAGACCCCGCCTTCATCTTGCGCCTGTGTGTGCGTGTGCCGCGTCGATGCCTCGCCTTTGTCTCGCTCGTGTGGTTCCTCTAACATGCAGTTGTCGTGTTATTTTTGCATGAACGATCTAGCAGCCCTCTCATGACGTCATAGCATAACCTCCAAAGAACCCCCATCAATTACATACTCATCGTAGCCAGTCTAAGCTTCCTGTGATCATCATATTATGATGAAAATAGACACTACATAGATAAGTTTACGCGTGTTTTAGATAAGGCACGTAGCATGTCCTGTAAAACATTTCGTACGTATCGACACCATAACATATATTCGACTTTTCTCGTGTGACTAATACCTTTTTTTCTCTAATCTGCATAGTTTTTTTTTTTCTACATTCCATTTATATGTTAGTGAACGTATACCTGACGAATGGAGAATGCAGCAGGTTGAAAAAGAAACTTAATTATCATCGTGTAAATGTAAGGGAATGTATGTATTTTCCTTCGCAGGTAAGATAAGTGTGCAGTAAGCTATCTATATCTATTTAAAATCCCCCCCCTTGCAGCGTGAAAGAAGTGACGTTGGCAGTGGAAACGTGTTGGCAGTGTGGTGGGAAAAGACGTGTAATTTCTAAATCTAAATCTATTTTTTTTTTTACTTCACTAACTTACATCCCTACTTCTGTCGATGAATCTCCCCTCATGGTCGTGAACGTTTTCAACAAAGCTAGTTTTTTCTCCTGAAATTCCACATACGAGCGCGGGTCATTTGGCACCGTGCCATCCCCTACCCCCCCCTTCTCCCTACCCACTCCCCCCCCCCCCCCCCTAACTTGTTCGTAAGTCAGGGCCACAACGAGAGGCATTTCTATTCGGTCCTTTTATAGAGCTTTAATGAGCTCCAATAAGCTCTAAAAGGGGGAACGGGGATGGAAGCTCTCTTTTGGCTACTCGATAACATTCCTTCATGACGTACAATAGTTGCTTCTCTCTGCCTCTGCCCCCTCCCCCCTCCCTCTCTCTCTCTTTCTCTTTCTCTTTCTCTTCTCTTCTCTCTCCCTCTCTCTCTCTCCCTCTCCCTCTCTCCCTCTCTCTCCCTCTCTCTCTCTCTCTTTCTCACTCTCTCTCTTTCTCTCTTTATTTTTTCTCCCTCTCTCCCTCCCTCCCACCTCGTACCGCTCTCCATTTCTCTCACTCTTCTTCCTTCCCACCCCTTTTCTCCTTCCCTTTCTATTTTCTCCCTTCTCTCTTTCCTTCCCGCCCTTCCTTCCTCCCTCCCACCTTTCC